ATACGGGCACAGCGCTAAACCGCTGGACCATTACTCGAAAGTTAATTAAAGAACATTTCAAAACAGCCGGTACGCCAGGCCGATCGTTTTTGTGCGCCTTGGAAGCGTCTACACGTGCAAAGTCAGGGTAGTGAGGCAAATCGTACAATAGAAAAAGACGGGTAGTAATGGGAATTGTTGTCTTTCTCCTACTGATTTATATAACTGTCGTTGGATCAAATTTAGACATTTCTAAAAATTAAAATTTATAATAATCTGAACTGAGGTGATTTTTACTTGATGCAGATCCATTTAACACAATTAAATTATAACATAAAATGTTAACAGGTAATTTATTAGTTTATGACAGCTGTTTCGGCAACACCATGCCTTTCTCGAAAAACTAACCAAAACTAATAAATAACTGTGAAAACCTGAACAATTTTTGTTTCAATTTAATTGTGTTATATACAACTGTAGTTTGAAATTCAAACAATTTTTTTCTAACGTTTAAAAGAATATAGACTTATTTATCATATTTATTATTATTATTATTACTATTATCTATTTAATTGTTTTAATCAATATTGTTTGTTTTCAAACAATTTTCATTATCGTACGGTAATACTATAATCATATTTATATATTTCACTTATATAATACCTCGAAAAGTTATTTATTTATAAAACAAAATTAAATCATGTAATATGCAATAGGTGTGCTTTAGTTACCCAAAAAAATAAACATTCCTTTGCCGGTTATATATTATAACATTTTATTGCAACCATATGGCCACACAAGATTTAGCTGTTTAATTAATATATACTAATTAACGCCAGCTTGGAATTATGTCTAGGTATTCTAAATATCTAAATACAAGAGACTATCACTCTGACAAATAGTCAAAATATATTACAACCACTGAGTTTAAAAAGGATAAACGATGAAAATGATTTTTACAAAGTACACTCTATTAAACCCTAAACTAACCAAAACTTCCATTTAAGACCCTTTTACTACCCATGGCCATGCCATGCGCAGTTCATTTGTTAGGTTTTTTTTTTGTTTGTTTTAGACTGATTTTAAACAAGTAAATTGAATGGGGATGAGACAAAACCATATCAAATATTTGTCGACTGTTTTAAATTTAAGCAAATCTCTAATGTCACAATATGGGGTGTATTTGCGAAGATGTATAGTCGAAATGAAGATAAAAATACACAACCCAACTCTTGTGAAAAAGTGAATGTTCTTGGAAATGGGATAAAATCAAAAAGTACATATATAACATCGGGGATATACAAGGGGTCCATTATTAATTGTCATTTTTCTGAATGATGTGCTTTTTACATAGTACTTACTCCTTGTACGCACACGATCTCAAAAGGTCAAAATTGGTTCACTCGGCGGCAGACTACGTCTTGTTGCATGGGAGATTCGTCAAAATTTGAAGAACAATGTTCTCTGAACAGGGTTTGCTAGCTCTGCTTTATTTTGTTTACAAAGAAATTACCACAACTGCAAATTAAAAGTGAACTTCTATGTAACTACAAACTGAACTTTTCGAACTCTGTAACATTGGATTTGGGGCTTCTTTTTGAGATACAAGCAGAAAATATTGTTCAAAAGGCTCTAAAGAGTCTTGGATTTATTTTACAGGTGACTAGTGGATTTAATAATAAAAAATCTTTAGTAATACTTTTTTACAGTCTTGTCAAACCCGTGTTGTTGTTGTGTTGTGCAGCGATAGTTTTGAATCCAATGTATTTTAGATATATAGAACGGCTGGAGAGTGTACAACGAATATTTGCGAATGCTGTAAATTATAAATTTAATAGACAGTCCAAAAAATCGTAGAACAAATTTTGATTTATTATTTCTTCATAAAATTGTAAATAATTTGATTGAATTTCCTTTCTTCGAAACAGGCGTACTTTGCTTAGAATTTAATTATTTGGGATTTTGTTAGGAAAGATACTAAACAATATATATTTATTTATGTATGTATTTATGTTTAAATATAAAATAAAATTACAAATTATTTTTATTACCTACTTAAATTACCTAAAATTATTCACATAATATATCAGTATCATCGCTTGTTCTAATTATTATTTGTTCTATGTTATTTGCAATATGGATATATGATTGTTCTGCTTTGTGGAGGGATGCTAAAAACTTCGGTTTCTATAAGTTTGAGGTCATTGGAGTTAACACGGGTAAAAACATTGTGACGACAAATGGCAGATTTGAGTTGGTGCCAAACATGTTCAATGGGATGAAATATACAGTGGTAAGGTGGAAGGAAGCCTTAAAACTGTATGAATGTTTGGAACTAGTTTGTTTTTAAACCAACTTTCAAATAAATCAGCGGTGATGTCTTCCATTTGGAATCCAACCATTTTTAGAGCGAGAATGCAAAATAATTATACTTTTACCTCTTTTACCCTTTTCCGGGGTATCATAAGTGTCGAACCAGGTTTCATCCAAGTAATTTTCCATACAGTTAATGTTGGAATTTTCGTCAATGTAGTCGTTTCTTCTAAAGATGCTTGCTTGCTGGCACCACGTTCAATGAGAGTCAAATAAACATTGTTTATAACTTCCTTAGTCTCAATAGAATAGTGTTTTCTACATTTGGGCGGGAGCATCTCCTGAGATACACTAGACTCGCACATATCTTGCATTATTCGCACACGGTGCATTACACACGAAATAAAAATGATCACTAATAAAATTAAACTAAGTAGTATACCAAACCAAAGAATATTAAACACAGGTAGGTATAAAATTATTTTCTGTTACGGACCACAATTTTACTTGAATTTAAATTCCGAAACTTTAGGTAATAATCTTGTTGCATTGTATGTTAATGACCACCCTTGGATAATCTCATTCGAAAGCAATTGGTCACTTTCGTATATCTATGAACAGACCATACCTGTATTTATAACACCGTAGAGAACTTGATACTTGAGACGGTTAACACACAATGTAATAAAAAGCTGTAGTTAGTTCTTCATTTTATTTAGTTTGTAAAAATTAATTTAAACTAGTCCACTGAGTAATATTTTTTTTGGTCGTGACACTGTGCCTTCCTTTTTTGATTGCACAGCTGCGTCTGTCTGTAGGAAAGACTTGTTTATAAATAAATAAACAGATACGAGCTGAAAAAATAGACAATATTAAAATTACTACGGAACGATAAATCGCCATTTAAGACGCGTAAAGCGCTATTCAAATGAATAATATATACATTCCTAATGTTAAAGTGAAAGCGGGGAAAAAACGCACCGCGCTGGCGGTATCCAAAATATTTATGGAAAGTGTGATATTGCCAATAATATACTTTATATAATATTTGCATACTGCTATTTTTGTATAACGTTAATGTTTAATAACATTTTATGTAAATCTAGTTGAGCGTGAACCGAACACCTCTCATGCTTCGGTAAATGTAGCGCAAACAAGATAATCCGGTCAAAATGAACGTTTCAATTCATAATAACCATAAGATAATTATTATGGTGGCCCTAAGGATAGAAAAAATCTGTGCGCCTCAGTGTGTGCCCATTTCGAGAAAATACTGCTCAAAAAATGACATATATATACAAACTGTATTCTGTCGAATTGAACGGTCAGCTGCCATAATGGTTGAAAGCGAGATATGTTATTGGTAGAAATGATCGCGCATACATTTTTTCCATGGTAGCCTCAAAAGTTGCTCTAGTCGGAGCATTCGGCAACTAACTTAAAAACTAGATTAAAAACCTAATTATCACTACTTACAATATGTGAAGACAGTTGCTTCTTCCGAAAGAGACACAGTTAGTTAAAATAAGTCTATAACATTGGTCACATTCTGGGATAAATTTCGTAATAATCTTGCAAACAATGCTTTTGAATTACTAAAGATATCTATTTTATTGATTATAAGATGTAACCATTGTCATGCCTAGCGATTTCATCTGGTAATTCGCTCTAGGTATATATTTGATGGGAAAGCTTCCGTAGCCTTTTAAACGTGTTTTATATGGGACACTTAAAAATACCGAACTCAATGTTGCATTGTCAAAGGTTAGGTTGTTAATGATTTTAAAAATATACAGTAACTGAGTTGTAACCCTTCAGTTGTTGCAGTATTAACATTATATAACGTCCTAAGTTGTAATTTTTTCAATCATCTGTATATATTTAGTATAAAAAGGAGACTAAATTATGCTAGCGTAATCAATTTTCAATCAAGTTTCGACTGTAGAAGGCTATAATAAAGCTTTTTCCGATTTGATTTTTTTTGCATTTCTAATTAAGATCAGAAGATTTCTATATACCAGTCTCTTTATTTTTATTCTGGCAATTCTCCGAGAAATTTAGACAATGCCCAAGGTTTATACAGCATGTCTTGTGAAGTTCTTATTAAATGGGGAATTGTTTGATTATTAACTTTACGAAAAAAAGGTCTTCGTAAAAGGGTGGTGAGAAAACTGGCACAAGAATATTTGTATGTTGGACATACAGGGTTACTTCCAAAACTACCGGGTTTGAAATTATTCAATGACATTGACTATATACCATGATAACGTTATTACAATAGTGACCAAAAGAAAATAGTGGAACTCATTTTCAAGTTTCTTATCCCACGGATCCGAGCCATTTCGGACATTTCTTGGATATTACCTAGCGGGTTTGGGAGCAATCGGATGATCTCCGAGATTTTACGGCAGGGTTTAAATTTTAACGTTTACCAATTCGTGTTGTTTTGCAAAAATGTACCCAAAAACTAACAGTCGTAGAAAAATAAATAAATAAATAATAAAAATAAAAAATAAACTTGTGACTCAAATACGGTTTACCACACTTGTATAATATACTATTTCACCCTGTTCCGTTAGATTTGTTTTTGAACTAATATGAAGTCCGGCAGAAAATTCAAAATCGCTTTTATCATAACCGATCCCCCCAATTCGCGAGAGAAGCGGAAATTGTAGTCTAATTTAATAAAATCAATCTTTTCATTTCAGGTACTCAAATATGCCGGCCAATATCAGAATGAAACGGATTTTTTTAGAAGGTGAGTTGAATCTGCCTCCTTTATAATAGCGCCTTGACATTTGGAATAATCTAGGGTTTAGTTAGTAGTCATCATCGGTCCGTTAAGTGAATAGAGAAATAATTAGAATATTTTAAATGGTATTAATGTCGCTGGCAATTAGCCGTTCGTCGCAAAAATTCCCGATGCGTTTTATTTTTAAGTTGACACGGGCTCTTAGAATTTTTGACGCGGAGTGATGAACTTCTAGAGCAAAAGTAGTATATCAATTTTGAGCGAATTCTGGCGATAATTACTTGTTTTCTTTTTTCAATCTTACTTACGGTACTTAGCAATATGATTGGTAAATCAGGATACTTCACTCTGAACAAATAATGCATCTCTTCAATTTGTTTGCTTGTCCTATCTCTGCAGCTGGAAGAAGAGACTTCAAGCTGACATATGCAATATTAATAACTGGTTTGAAAATGGATTGTAATTTGAAAGATTACATCTTCGGAAATTAATTTTAGTATACAAAAATTATTTAATACTGATTTAGGTACTGTTTTGTACCGAAGAATAAAAATAACCTAACCTAATTAGGGTATAATAATATGCAACACCTTTCTGTGGCCAGCAGCTTATTATAATATTTTCCAATCACACCATTTCATAGTGTAACGATTTTGCTGTTACAAAAATGTTGCAGAAAAATAAATAAGCGATTAAATTAATGATAAAATTGTTTCGCATTATATGGAACCTGGCGGAAATGGGCAATTAACAATTGCAAAATTTCGAAATTAGAATGGCAAATTTCACCGTTTTTTCGCATGCCCGATATTATGTACGTTATGTATTGTTTAATATTCATTGTTTTTGCGTTTGGGGAAAACTGTGCGACGAGCGGCACCACAAGAAAACGACCGGTTTGAAATGAGAACGGGAATTTTGGAATGTTTGATCTGAATTCATTATCGATCGATGGTCAGTTACGCCGTTTTCTGTGAAGAATATTTATTTATTTATTGTATTTTGTACGGGGTGTTTCTAGTTCTTAGTTTTTTTATTTTGTTTATTTTAATTTTATTTTATATAGGACTTTATTTTTAATATAATATATATTGATATAAAAAAAATTAATCAGAATGTAGTGAAGTTTTTTTCTATGATATTGCTTTGTGATGCAGAATTATTTTGGCTGAAATATTGCTAAAACTACGATTTTACCGCTTAACTTGATACAGTTTAAACAGTTTTACAGTTAGTCAGCAGTATACAGGGTGTCTCAAATATTGGGAACAAACGAAGAAATTTCAAAAACGTCATATCTCTTTTTTGTTGTTGTTCCTATCACTAAATTTGTCCTTTCATTATAAACATAAACATGTTAACATAAATAATTTGTTTTTTTTTTTAGCAATTATGTTCGAATATTTGATCTAAATTTATTATCGATCGATGGTCAGTTACGTCATTTTCGGTGAACAATTTTATTTATTTCTTATATTGGGTACGAGGTGTGTCTAGTTCTTTGTTTTTCATTTTTTTTTGTTATATGCAAAGTATAAGGTAGGACTTTATTTTTAATATACTAGATATTAATATAAAAAAAATAAATTAGAAGGTAGTAAAGTTTTTTCTATGATATTGCTTTGTAATACAGAATTATGCTTTTTGGCGGAAATATTCCTAAAACTTTTTCCTGCTTAACTTTATACAGCTGATCAGCACTATACATGGTGTCTCAAATATTGGAAACAAACGAATAAATTTCAAAACGTCATATCTCTTTTTTGTTGTTGTTATTCCTAACATTAAATTTTTCCTTTCATTGTAAACATTTTAACATAAATAATTTGTTTTTTTTAAAGTTTAATACGTGAATAGCTTAAATAAAATAATGTTTTTTCCAGTATTTCTATCATTTTCTTCGACCCACATTTGTAATCGTGTACAAGGAAAATGTTTATTATTAAAAACATAAATCATATTTACCGAATTATTTCTAAAAATGTGTATGGTTATAATTGTTTTAACGTATATACACGTACATGTAATTTGACACATGCCAATAACTGCTTTTGAGTTGTCACGGCCATCTTCGTGCTTGAAGAAGTAAAAAATACTACGACTTCTTCCAATTAGAACAAATTATTAAATAGCTATTTTATTCTCTTGAAATTAGGTTATTAGCTACATAAATAAAAAGAAAAAAAAATGGAAGCATTTGATGTTGGGAACAACGTAACATAACAGGGGCATTCCATATAAAAAAAATATTATATTTTGAAATTTCTTCATTTCGATCAATATTGGAGACTTTCTGTAGTCGACTGGCAATCTCTGTTAACTTAAGCAGTTAAGTCGTAATTTCAACACTGCTGCAAATAAGTCAAGAGGCAAGTTACGCCAAATATTTCAAACACTAATAAGTTTAACCTATAACCTATAATGTTATATAAAAAATGTGTTCAGAATTAACGATGCAAAATAAAACATAATTTTACTTTTTTGCAAACTTATGGAACATCCCGTATACATTAAAATAATTTTAAGATCATTGGAAGGTGCAACTTTCTAATTTGAATTTATTATCTATCTCTAACGGCTTGCAAGATATCTTCCGTCGACACACTATAGGACACCTTGTATAGTGTATCAAAACTGTGAAAAAATGTGGTTTCCGTAAATATCTTAATAATCCACTAGCCCATTTTCAACCAATTAACAATGGTATTTAAAGGCAACGATTCCAGCGGCGTCCGGCAATACACTTCAAAATTAATATTAAAAGAAAAATGTTGAGCACTTACTTTCTTTCGCATTTTGTTTTATTGTTTCGTTTTTGAGATAACAATATAAATATTTATTTATATTTACAAAAGTTATGTTTTTTTTTCGATTTTTATGAATCTCGAAAACGATGCTGGATACAGAAAAAATCAAGAGGAGTAAAACTTGGGTTTCAGTTGCTTAATCCGAAAAAACAAACGAAACGGCATCCTACTTTTTTCTCACAAATATTGGTTAGAAGTCTGTTCTGTCTGTTTCAATAACTATAAATAAGACTTTGGCAGGAATTGGTGACCTTGGTATTCCGTTTAGGAATATTGAACAGGTGCTCGTGCACTTGTCACCTTGTATTATGAGCATCTACATCGCTTTATTAAATGCAGGTGTCGAAGTGCTTGTCTATTTATCGTCTCAGCCTTCATTTTAATCACAACAAACCTACACTCTGCAAATAAATGGTATCTTATGTCCGCTGCTTTGAAATTCCTTTAAATTTTTATTATTACGGCCACATTATTTAATGACTACTCCCTGGATTCTTTCCCGTTTCAGGTTTTGCCTGACGCATACTTTATCGTCGTTTAAGCTACAAGGATAGTTTTCTTCTCTTGTAGCAGCGTACCAAACAATGCGGTGCAAATCAAAGGACAAACTGTTTCTTTTTTGCTCGAATCAGGTCCGTACGATTCGACGATGTCATTTTCCGCCGATCTAACCGGTTATTCAAACTCGCGAGATTTCTCAAGCCTCCTAAAACCACGAAAGATTAATACGCCCGGCGACCATTTGCAGAACGACCCGTTCTTAATTGCTTAAGTTCATTTCGCTTTATGTAAACTTTAAAGTGCGACTTGCAGTCTCTTGCGTAACACTTTCAAAACGAACTATCTCGGACCAGCTATGGCAAGCGTTTCCGAACGTCCGTGGACGAATACGAAACGTTTATTAGGTTAGTTTTCGTTTTTAACGGCTTGTAGATGTCGTTAAGATCGGCAAGTTTTCGTGCAACTTAAAAATACCTGGAGAAATTCTAGAATTTTCCAGTTGCCATGTACGTAGTGTAAGACGCGGCGCAAAGCATTTTGGCCGAGCAAAAGTTGGGTTATGGGACAAACATGAAGTTTTATAACAATGATAATTATTTGGAAATATTTTTAATAATGACAATTAATGGTATATTGCGTGTTGCGTACTATGCTTTTTCTACGACCAGATCTGATATATCTTTGCAAAGCAACACGACCCAATAAACGTCAAAATTCAAGCCAGGGGCAACATATCTGAAAACATCCTGTTCGCAGCTGTAATCAAGAAAACCGACGTCCCAAAATGACACTTTAAGCACACTCTTGGTCCGTAAGTAAGTCAATTCCTCTAAAAGTTATTGAAATGATGAGAAATCGATTTTGCAATGAAATTCTTTCTTCTTTAAAACACCACGTGCGTTACAGCTTGATAAAAATCTTTCTTGAAATTTATTGTTTCAAAAAAATAAATTCTTGCTAATGACTGTCTTGCCAAACTGGTGCTTTCAAAATATTAAAATTTTGAAAAAAAAAACATTAGTGTTTTATAAACTAGTTAACAATCATCAATGTAAATAAAATTTCAAACTACATTATGCAATAAGTGCGGTAAACGGCATTTGAGAATTTATTTGGCACGAGCAGAGCGCAGCGGAGCGAGAGTTTAATAAACGAGTGACTTAAAAAGTTCGCCAAACATGTTGCATACTATACTTTTTCTACTACCGTTAGTTTTTAAGTACATTTTTGCAAAACAACACGAACACGCGCTAAATCGGTGTATAATTAGATATTTTACAGAAGGGCGTAGAAAAACAGTATTTGAGTATCGAGTTTAATTGGCTCGAGCGGAGCGCAGTGAAACGAATGCTTAATAAACGAGCAACTTAAAAAAATTACCAAACGTGTTACAAACTATGCTTTTTTACGACCATTAGTTTTTGGGTTCTTAAAAACATCCGATTGCTCCCAAACTCGTGCGGTAAAATCCCGGAAATGTCCGAAGTGGCTCGGAATCATGGGAAACAAAACTGACGTGGTAGGGTGACGCTTCCCGCACGCTAGATCCGTGTGTAATTAGGTATTTTACAGACTGGAGTAGAAAAAATATTTTACCGTTATGTTTTAAGGAACATTTGGAAAGTGAAATCAGTTGCGTTACTTTTTACGTCAGCGTACGAAAGATATTTGGAAAATTAGTGGAAATACCACATCGTT